AATCATTTCTGAATACCAGAAGGAAGACTTTTATTCAATGCTTTATACATTATTTCCAGTAAAACACCAACTTAAATTCACCTAAACTCAAACGCGCTGCTTTTGTTGTAAAAACCCTTTAAGATAATTGCTGGTCATTGTGTGATTTGGATCCGAATGTGCTGTTCTGACGTATATCGGGGCTCTGTGTTTTTTTTGCCTCACACCCCTGGGCGGTGTGTGTTTTTCTGGATCTGCTATGAGGAGCAGATACACAGGATGACGGTCAGTGAGAATCCAGCCTCATATTTCTCCCAGACCAGTGCAGCTGTTAGAGAGCAGCATTCTCATCACATGACGCCTGTTTGCCGCCTCCCAAATGAATACGCGAAGGGGGTCTGTGACCGTCCATACATTAGTGTCGTAAGTGTGTGTGTGTTAAAGGGAGATTGCCACTATTTGCACTTGAGCCGAATGGACTTGCATGCTTCTTTGTAGATCTATTTAGAAACCTCTATTCTTTCCTTTTGCTCACACCAACCCCTCAAAAACGGGCTTCTCTAGATATGTGTCACAGACCGATGCTATTCCAATGGTCTCTTCATCCGTGTGCAAAAACAACTGGACGAAGATGACCAGCCAGAGTGGTTGAAAGCTTTTTTAGATCTGGACCAAAAGTAAATAGAATCCTGTATTACCAATGAAAAAAAACTGCTCTATGCCAGTGTTTTTTTTTATTTATTCTCGAAGCCCAGAGTTTGTTTTTTTTAAATTAAGACTACACATTAAGATAAATTTAAATAAAGTAGGAGGGAAAATAGACAAAGCAGCCCACAAGAATAAGAGATACAAACGTAATTCAAATTAAAAAGGAAAAATTGTCAGTGGCAGTGGCGTCTGGCCGGAAGAGTGATGAGGGACAAAGTGTTTTTTTTTTTTTTCGGGGGCTAACTGTCAGCACCAGACGGAGCGAGTGGGGGCTCTGGATCTAATTTAACCGTAAAGACCCGGGAGAGTGTGTGAACACCTAAGACCAGCATCCGTTTAGGCTGGGACAGGACCAGTACATGTGGATTAATGATCGTCACAATAGGCACCAACCCCGGAATATACAGGACTGTCTCCGAAAATTAGAATATGGTGATAAAGTTCTTTATTTTCTGCAATGCAATTACAAATCATGAAATGTCATACATTCTGGATTCATTACAAATCAACTGAAATATCGCAAGCCTTTTATTGTTTTAGTATCGCTGATTATGGCTTAAAGCTTAAGAAAACTCAAAAATCCGATATTCTAATAATAGGATATTTGGGTTTCTTAAGCTGTAAGCTATAATCAGCTATATTAAAACGATAAAAGGCTTGCAATATTTCAATAAGACTTTATTATAGATGAGTCCTATATGAGATGGCTTCAGTGAGAGCATTCAACATTGCACATTTCGCACTTTTCAATTGTTCATTTGTACATTCACACCTGTATGCATACTTTTGACACTTGTAATTTGATATTTAATATTGTATCTTTGAGTCCCATATCCATATTTCTATTCTCAGATCTATATTTTTAAAGATTGTACTTTAGTTTTATATTTTTTGTTCTATATTTTTATTTCTACATTGTATTTCCTTGCTTCTCATGGAAGTGTTGTGCACCAAAAAAAAAAGTAAAAAAAACCTACTTGGCAATAAACGTTATTCTGATTCTGATTCTGATGGTTTCCACAATAGTGATGCCTGATAATCACAGAATAAATTAACCTCACCTGTAGATATCTGAAAAAAATAAGAAAAGGATGAGGAAGGTTATATTTTATGCTGATTAAATGAAGCCAGACCATCAATAAACTATAAATCGATTATCAATAATCTCACCAAAGCGTCTTATCCCATTCTTGCCAGTTCAGAAAAACGGCATCTTGAGTGGGTTAGGGTTAGGGTTAGGGTTAGGGTTAGGGTTAGAGAGGTGGTTTGGCCCAATGGGATGCTATGAAGGCTGAAATCCTTCATGAACTAGATCCATGTTTTCAAGCATTTGGGACAACGAAGGTGGTTTTTCAGTGTCTTATTTAGTTATTTATCACCCAGAATTGATCTGTTTGTGGGTGGTGAAGGGTACAAAATGGCACAAACATTTAATGTAATGTTTAGGTTCAAGCCAAAAGCATCCCCTTAAATCTCAGCCAATGTTCCTCATTTCAGATCCCCTTCATCTATATACAAAGGCTGAATAATGGAACTGATGAGGAGCCATTTTGAAACATCTGTAATGATCAGATGTCGCCCATTAGCTTTGACCATCATGGATTTTTCCCAGTTACATTGAATTGGTTTGAATCAGGACTTGCAAATCTTAAGCGTACCCCCTCCAAACCCAACCCAACCCTGTGTGCCAACTCGTGTAGATCATCTGCTTATTCACGGCCGTTTCTAACTCGATCCCTGCCGTCCAGCTGGACGGTAATAAATGACGGGCAGCCAGATTACAGTCATTCATCACTGTCTGCCCACATCTCCATCGTCCTCCTTTTCCTTCTCTTTTAACTCAAGACACCTGTACCGGCCCCATTCTTTATTCCTTCTGGTTCATGCCCGGCCCATTTAGCTGCTAAAGCCGGGCTCCATGTGTGTGTGTGTGTGTGCGGTCAGCTGGCAGCTGTGAGAGGGGGATGGCCTTAGGATGTCCATCACAAAAAAAGAAAGGAAAAAAAGGGGGGAAAAAGAAGGAAAAAAAGGGAACAAAAGGAAAAAAAGAGGGGAAAAAAAGGGGATGTCCATCATGAAAAAAAGAAAGAAAAAGAAGGGGGAAAAAAGAAAGAAAGAAAGGCGAAAAAAGAAGAAAAAAAGAGAAAAGAAAAGGGATGTCATCACAAAAGAAAGAAAAAAAGAAAGAAAAAAAAGGGGGAAAAAAGGGAGAAAAAGAGAAAAAAAGGGGGATGTCCATCACAAAAAAGAAAAAAAGAATAGGAAAAAAAAGGGATAAAAGGGGGGGGGGGAAAAAAAAAAGAGAAAAAAAGGGGGATGTCCATTACAAAAAAAGAAAAGGAAAAAAAAGGAAAAAAAAAAAGAAAGGACAAAAAGAGAAAAAAAAGGGGATGTCCATCACACATCAAAAGACTGTCACTGTCTAATAACAACCTGTAACGCGTGTCCACCCCCCCGGTCAGTCAGTGAGTTTCCTAACCGCCCGTCTTTCCTCTTTTTCAGACCGAGGTCATGAAGGGCCCGTGCGGCAGCGTGGGGATGACCTTCCGGCACGTTCCGGCCAGCGAGGGCGACGCCGTGCACGTCAGCATCGAGACGGTCACGCCCAACTCCCCCGCCGCCATGGCCGACCTGCAGAGGGGCGACCGCCTCATAGAGATCGGAGGTCACATGCTCTTGTTGTCTTTATTTATTTATTTTTTTAATCAGGACAGTGCACATTAATGAACAATCTCATACAGATTGTAAATGAGCCAGATTCTAGCATAGTTGCTAGTTTACATCTGTGGTCCTGAGGCAGGAAGACCAAACAACACAAAATCACAAAATACAAAATCAGTCCAAACACACGTTCAGACAATGACATTACAAAATTAAAATGAATTCAATTCAATTCAATTTTATTTATATAGCGCCACATCACAACAACAGTTGTCTCACAGCTTTCCAAACAGAGCAGGTCAGACCCTACTCTGAAGTTAATTACAGAAACCCAACAATTCCCACCATGAGCAAGCACTAGGCGACACAGGCGAGGAAAAACTTCCTTTTAACAGGCAGAAACCTCGAGCAGAACCATGGCTAATTCTGATGCTTGTTGTGACCCCATCTTGTGTTTTAATTTTCAGTT